AGTAGTAGTAGTAGTAGTAGTCAACCACTCATTCGGACTCGGATGAACGCCAAGCTGTCGAAATCAGAAGCTACGCTCGGCATTGATCGCAGGCATTCACAGTACCACAGAACCCCGAGGCCTTCGGCATGAGCTTGCTCCCTGTGCGAAACTCAATCAGCTGAAAGTACCTACTGATCTGCTGCAACTTCGGCAGCTTGTCTGGGTCTGGGTCCGCGACCGAGCTTTCTGAACCTGAGGGAGGCGTGCTGACAGGCACATTCCTTCACAAAAAACACGAGCGTCTTCTTTTCCAGAGGCTTTCTGAGCGTAGGCATGCCTGCTACCGTTCCTATGCTGTGGGCCGTCCGGCGCGGCGTTCCAGCTGCTGCTTCAGCTCACGTTGCTCACGCTCTGCCTGTTCCTGACACAGCAGGCTGTTCAGTAAAATGGGCTCAATGAAGCAGCTTTGGGTTTCGATACTTCGGGTGCTGTTCGGCTGAGTAACAAGAAGATGCCCGTGGAACAGGCTGGGATCCGGGTACTTGGTGCCGAAAGCATCCGAAGACACTCTTCACGCTTCGATGCTGTGCTTGCAGTGCTCTCACACCCGCCTGGCGAAGGCGCACGCGCTTCGCAGCAAAGTTCTGCTTCTCCTGCTACAAGTATGACATAAAGAATCAATCCACACAAGCAGAGCACCGCGGACAGTTCCAGAGCGATCAAAGCCTCACGGTCGAGCGCTTCTTCCGCCGGACCGAACATGCTGTACATGATGGCGGCAGTGCATGCCAGGAATGATGCAATCCTGCAAGAAAAATTGGAAAATCACAGGGCCTCCCGAAGTCTTTTAACAACAATGCATTCTCTACACCTTCGGGCTACAACACTCTCAAACATTCAACTTTCGACCATCCAAGGAAACACAGCACCTGCTGCCAAGCCGCGATACGCCCGACGGACCCTGATTACTCGCAGGTGGCTGACGCCGTGCCGCATCCTGGAATGATATCATTACAGTGAGAAACTGTCTTTGATCAATCTCTCTTGCCATCTCTGTCAATGTCCAGCCGGGCAATCACAAAATGTCGATGACAACCAACTGCGATTCATGATGCCATTAGCTCTGCTTCTCGGGAACAAGAGCAATGGCTACCTACAACTGCCTATGATGCATGCATGCTGCATCAATGCTGTAGGCTTCCGGCCCAATCTTTGCTCTTGTACGCAGGTTCTGGCCCATCGTGCCTCTGCCTCCCGACGGCCAAGGATACGATTTTTAGGCGGCATCGAATCTTCTGCTGGTACAGTCTCGATCATGCCCTGTGCTAGCCTGCGGTCTGGTCTCCTTGCAATGCCGCGCATTTCCTGCAACACTTCGGCATAAGCGTCCTGACGTGGTGCGTCGATCAGTCAGCGCCGAACAATCGGATGACCCGGCAAAGCCATTCTGCTGTGTATTCCTGTAGGTCCAATACACCGGAAGCCACTATCACCTCCCAAGTCCTGGAGCTCACGAAACTTCTTCGCGGCAACCTCCGAAACTCAACATCAAAACCGCTGCACGTGACGACATGAAACTGGCTCGAGGGATCCTCGCTGTCGCTGCCGGGAGGCTGCATGTCCGGATGCACGGCCTGTCAAATTCTCACTCCTGTTGTCTCTGCAGCACTGGCGCATCACATCATACGTGTCATATGGGCCTTCGCACGTTGGCGGAAGGCTTTCCGGACTTCCTGGCACGCCCAGACAAAAAATCTAGACAAACCATGTTTGCCTCGGCAGCCCGGCTGTCCCTCACAAGCTTTAGTCAAATGCAAAACATGCACAGCATAGGTCCTCCTCGCTGCAATTCCAGCTGACACCAAGCTTTTCCCGTGGTGATGTAGCAAAGTTTCGGCCGCTTCGCCTGCATGTGGTGGCTTAGATGTTGCTCAGGTCTCGCTTGGAACAAAATGCCAGCTCAATAAAATAACACACCACCGCCAAAAGGACACTTGCCGATAAAACCTGTTAACCTCCAAATGTTTCTGGGCAAAAAGGGCCAGCTCGAACCGCGAACCAACGCAAATTGCAGCTCACACCATGAATACATGCAAATATGATGGCCTTTCTGGCTTTTGTGGTCCCTATCTCGCCACCCTAGCAAAAACCAGTACTGGATGCAAACCCATGACCTGTAGCTGTGAAAGAAAACAATAATAGCGTAAATCTCATTCGTAAAACTCTGGATATCTCTAGTTACACTGCCACGGCCTGACGAATGTAGCTGCCACACCTGCAGAAGCCCCGCCTTCTTGCGAGCAGCGCTTGCTCCACCATCGGGCATATTGACACACGCATCTTGTGACGTGGCCTGCTTTGCGAAAACCGCTCCTAATATTTTCGAAACATGTTTTGCCGCAAAGTTTGACCCGCTCGCTCTGCCCACGGCGATGCATTGTTGGCTAGTTGCTCTTTGCTCGAAACAGCGGCGGGTGCAATGTCCTTTGCAGTGTCCGCAAGCACGCATATTGGCACAGGTCTGGTGCCCACCCGAAGCGACGAGCTGAGGCCCATGACTAAAAGCCTTCTCGGCGAGGTTTCCTGCGAGGCAAAGCCGGCAAACGCGCGACAGAACAACCCAAGCCTGACAAAGCTTGCCTGTCAATCCATTCTAACGTGTCGAACAACTGCTGCATGCTGCATGACGAAGGCGGCCCATCTACGTGCAGTAAACGATGACCGAAAACACAAACAAATTAACCAAAAACTGTCATTCCAAACTTTGCTTGCCGTCGCGCCTGTCAATGGTGCTGTGTTAAGAAGCTTCGCTTTTTCGACGTTTCGAGCCCCGTGCCGCCAACACTTTCCTCAACGGTGGTTTTGTTCAAGCGCGCGTCGGCCCCAACCACTGGCACTTTTTTGGCTCAAGCCATTTCTCAAGATGGGGCCCTCTTTAGCTTGCCTGTGTGCGGCGCCACATGGAACGCGTGTTTTTGACAGTGGGTGGAGCGCGACTGGAGGCTGTCTTGGACCAGACTCGATGCTTTTTCGTGCTCTTCCAAGCGGAGGTCGCGTGCGCCGGAGGTGAGTGGCAGCCTGCTGACAGCTCTGGTCGCCCCCCGTGCTCCCCCCGCGCGCTGGTGACAACGTGGAACCCGGCCGCGGCCGCATCCACAGGCGGCGGCTGCCCCGTGCCGGAGGCCAGAGCTCTGTCAGCGCGCACACGTATGAGGTCGCTCATGGAGCAGAGGGCTTGTCCATAGACCTATCGCAGCGACTGGCTGCAGGTGCCCAGTCCGAGTAAAGCGAATGGTGAGACTCGGAGCCCGGCGCGCTCCTGCCGCCCTGCCAAAACCTTTTTTCCTGCCGTAGTCCTGTCGCAGTCTGCTCCTGCTACACGGTCCCGTGTTAGGGCCGGTCGGTCAGTGCAGCGGAAGCCAACTGACCGGGTCGGCAGGCGCGAGTGCCAACACCTCGTCCAGGGGCTGTCACCCGACTCTGCGCCGGCCCGGACACAGCATGTGCTCAGACTCAGGGTCCCAGCGGACGCTTAACAAATACGCGAAAAAAATACGCGAAAAAAACACAATGGGCAGAGCTGCGGACAGCGGCAGGGGCACTCGCAGCACGTGCCCGGACAAAACTTAAGGCGGACGAAAGCGTGTTGCGCCGCAGGAGCCGCTACCAGCCGCTACCAGCCGCTACTAGCCGCTGCTAGCCACCACTAGCCTTTTGCAGCCGCACGGTCATTTGCAGCCAGTCTCCTTTTCCATTTTTTTCTCGCACCTTTTGGGGAGTCCTCAGGGTCAGGGGTACCTACGAGAGCCGGCTACGCCAGCCGGCTGGGGCCTGTTCGCAGGCTGCCCGCGAGCAACCAACGGCACGTCTTGGTCGTCAGATGGGTCGCTGGGCCTCGCGATGGGCAGCTCGAGGAGCGAGAAGGCGTGCGCCCGGAGCGCTGCGAACACGGCCTGGGCTTCCCAGCGCTGGTTTAAAGGCCTGTCGAGCGGCCGCTGCGCACCACGGGCTGACGACCAACCGGGCCTCGCCCTCGACCAGGCAGTCGACCGCAAACACCGAGCTTACCCGGAACTGCGAGCTCGGCGCTGCCGCCTGGTTGTCTTCGGCGTGGTTGGCGGGCGAGTCAGCCGCGGCACCCTGACGTTCTTGCGACTGCTCGCGCGATCTGGGCGCCCTGCCAAAAGGGGAGTCCCTTGGCGACAACCTCTATGCGGCGTCCGTCGCCGGCTGGTACGTCAAGGTTGAGGTCACGGAGGGCGACGTGCGATGCGACTCGGGCTCCCGCCTCTTTGCAGATGCGTGCTGCTTCTCGCTCAAGGGGGCCGGCTCTGCGG